TTGATGGTTAATCTATATAATTTTGGATTAGAAATTTTGAAATAAAAACTATCTGCACGCTTATTTGGCAAGCTAATTGTTTCCTTTTCTTTTTTTATATTCTAATATTATAAATAAAGAGGGATATTAGAAAGGAGAGGTTGCTAGTTAGGCTATTCAATTTTGAATTTCAAATTAAAAAAAGAAGACATACATACTCTTATGGTGAATTTCTTTTAAATTTCAAACTATCTAAAGAAAAACGCGCTCTGGCTTAGGTTATCTAATTTGAAATTTGAAATTCAAGCAATGTACTTTTTATTTCACATATTATGTTCAGAGCACTATAAGAAAGTTAATATCATATTCATTTCACAAAGTCATATATTATAAGTCATTGATATAAGCTAATTGTATGCTTATATTCATAAAAAATGGGGTATATATATAAAAAAAGAAAAGAAGAAGCAACGGCCCAAAGGAAAAGTTTCAGTGTGATTCAATTTAGAAGCAAGTGCATACGACCAAAGAAATAACGCACAGAGACCAAACAAATTAAATATATAAAAAAAACCAGACCTCTAACCTTCCAAGCTAATGATGTGGGTGTTGGGTGCCAATTCAAACTCTAAGTTGGATCTGGATTTGAAAGCTAGGCCCAGTCCTAGTAGGTTTCTTAGAGGCCACGCTAACTGTTTGCGTCGAAAATCATTTTCTTCATTGTATAACTCATTACAACTTCGATCGTTACAATAAGTTTAAAAAGATCGGTCTTTTTATAAGACCTTTACATAATAAAAATAAAAGATACAATTCTCGTTCAAACAAAATGCAGAGGACGTTTATCATCCGCTACTTTGCGTGGGATCTTTGCCTGTGTCGGGGTTTATCCTGTTAGACCCTAGAGGGGGGTGATTAGGGTCTTATGCTAATCTAATCCGATTTTATGCCAATTAAAACTAATTAATAAATTATTCTTGCAAGATAGATATACAATATGTTACAAGCAAGAAAAAGCAATATGAACAAAGAGCAATATCCTAGAAATGAGATATATAGTGAAATATATGCGAGGATATATAAACTAATACAAAGGTGAAACAATATAGAGGACAATATAAATAAGCAAAAGAACAATGGTGATATAAGATATGAACACAAGAATTAAGTACGCCAAAGACAATGCAAACACAAGCAAATGATCACGGAGTTCGGACAAGTCTAAGCTTATTAATTTTGCTGTGTGACGACATATACTTTTCTAATGAAGCTGAAATTATGTGATAATTAGAATTTAAGAATGAGATTGTTTTATATTTATATTAATATGTGAAGGTCTTCTATCTCATCTAACCGTGACATCTTATTTGATTGCTTCATGTTGAAGAATTTAACTCAATGTCCTCTTTAATTTATACTAAAATCTCAAATTTTCTTTATAATAAAACTTCGATGTTAGATGACTTTGCCAGCTGGCAAAACCCACAGTCCTGACATGTATGAAGAGATATTCTTAGTGCTACGATCACACAAGGAACATCAACTTTTTATTACATTTCTTTTATTTTAAAAATATTATAGAAAAATAAGGGATATTATAAAGGAGGGATTGATGGTTAATCTATATAATTTTGGATTAGAAATTTTGAAATAAAAACTATCTGCACGCTTATTTGGCAAGCTAATTGTTTCCTTTTCTTTTTTTATATTCTAATATTATAAATAAAGAGGGATATTAGAAAGGAGAGGTTGCTAGTTAGGCTATTCAATTTTGAATTTCAAATTAAAAAAAGAAGACATACATACTCTTATGGTGAATTTCTTTTAAATTTCAAACTATCTAAAGAAAAACGCGCTCTGGCTTAGGTTATCTAATTTGAAATTTGAAATTCAAGCAATGTACTTTTTATTTCACATATTATGTTCAGAGCACTATAAGAAAGTTAATATCATATTCATTTCACAAAGTCATATATTATAAGTCATTGATATAAGCTAATTGTATGCTTATATTCATAAAAAATGGGGTATATATATAAAAAAAGAAAAGAAGAAGCAACGGCCCAAAGGAAAAGTTTCAGTGTGATTCAATTTAGAAGCAAGTGCATACGACCAAAGAAATAACGCACAGAGACCAAACAAATTAAATATATAAAAAAAACCAGACCTCTAACCTTCCAAGCTAATGATGTGGGTGTTGGGTGCCAATTCAAACTCTAAGTTGGATCTGGATTTGAAAGCTAGGCCCAGTCCTAGTAGGTTTCTTAGAGGCCACGCTAACTGTTTGCGTCGAAAATCATTTTCTTCATTGTATAACTCATTACAACTTCGATCGTTACAATAAGTTTAAAAAGATCGGTCTTTTTATAAGACCTTTACATAATAAAAATAAAAGATACAATTCTCGTTCAAACAAAATGCAGAGGACGTTTATCATCCGCTACTTTGCGTGGGATCTTTGCCTGTGTCGGGGTTTATCCTGTTAGACCCTAGAGGGGGGTGATTAGGGTCTTATGCTAATCTAATCCGATTTTATGCCAATTAAAACTAATTAATAAATTATTCTTGCAAGATAGATATACAATATGTTACAAGCAAGAAAAAGCAATATGAACAAAGAGCAATATCCTAGAAATGAGATATATAGTGAAATATATGCGAGGATATATAAACTAATACAAAGGTGAAACAATATAGAGGACAATATAAATAAGCAAAAGAACAATGGTGATATAAGATATGAACACAAGAATTAAGTACGCCAAAGACAATGCAAACACAAGCAAATGATCACGGAGTTCGGACAAGTCTAAGCTTATTAATTTTGCTGTGTGATAGTGTACTATTCAAGATATTCTTGTACAATAGGGTATTGATCAAGCTTTAGAGAAGAAAAACACAGAAGGGCTGAAGGATGGTGAATGGAGTTCCATACAAAAGAAGGTGGTTAGCACAATTCGTTTGGCACTCGCCATCGAGATCAAGTACAACGTTATGCAGGAGACCACACAGAGGGGGTTGTGGGACTAGCTTGAGGGGATTTATGCATCAAAGTTAGTGAAGTCAATGACTAACCGATTGTGTTTGAGGGTGAAGTTTTATTCATTGAAGATGGAAGAAGGTACTGCTATTCAAGATCACATTAACGCCTTAAATCAGCTAGTTTGCTAGCTTATGAATATTAATGAGGAGATTAAAGAAGAAGGGCAAACACTACTCCTTTTGTCTTCCTTACTACAGTTGTGTAAGCTGTTACTTTAGACGATAATTGCGGACGAGTAGACTTTAAAGTTTGACGATGTGACATCACTCCTACATGAGAATGAAAGAATGATGAGGAAGGATAATGCATCAAATGGTGATGAAGTGCACTAGTTTTTGAAGGTTCTAATCGAGGGAGGAGTAAGTTGAGATGTGACAGTTATCGAGGAAGGTCAAAACCCGGGCCTGGCGAAAGACCGTGCTACTGTGGAGAGAAGGGTCCTAGTCAGTTCAGATGTTCCCAGATGCAAGATGGCTTGAAGAGCATTAGACAGATGAAGATTCAATAAAATGGTAAGGAGAAGAACTCCTCGGCAGTTGTGTGATGAAGATGGGGTGTTAATGACGGAGTGTACTAGTAATAATGCGAGTAATACTTAGGTTGTGCAACCTCTATGCATGTTTGCAACAATAAAGAGTGTTTTGATACATTCAAGACGGATGAAGACTTTGGTGACGTTATTGTCGGAAACAACGAGAAGCTGAAGGTTGAAGGTGTTGTGAATGTTCACCTCAAGCTTCACACAAGGAAGGTAGAATTCTTCGTCATGTGAGATATATGCCGTCATGTGGTGTTAGTTTAATTTCATTGGGTGAGATGACATCGCGTGGGTACAAGTATGTGGGTGAACGAGAGTGGTGCAAAGTGTATAGAGATGGTGATTTGATTTTACGAGGAAGAAAGAATAGCAACTATATTTACTATTTAGATGGGCAATTTGTTAATGGAATATGTGAGTCTTCTCAAACTCTTGTCGACAAGGGAGAGATGAAGAACAAGAAGAAGAGAGTGAGTTTTTTTGGAGCCATTGAGATACATGGAAAATTTTCATTGAGGGAGGATATGCTGGGTGCCGACTCAAACTCCAAGTTAGATCCGGACTTGAAGGCTATGCCCAGTCATAGTAGTTTTCTTAAATGCCAAGTTAATAGTTCTCTTGGAAGCCAAGTTGACTTGGTGAGCAAGTCAGGGGTGTTTTTAAATAAGACATCCTATTTTAGGGGTTTTTTAGTAGAGAGAGGGAGAGAGATAATATTTTTGTAATCAGGGTTTAACAGAGGGTATAACCGGGTTCAAGTGTACTGTGAGAGAGAGAGAGAGAGTGTTTCACAATCTTTGTCCATGCAAAAGATTGTAATTTGGTGGTGATAGTGGATTATTTTCGATCATGTGTTTTTTCCT